AAATGAGGTAATTTTGGAATAAATAGAAATAATGATTCAAATTTTATTTTAAGTAATTTAATTGCAACTATTTAATTCAGTAACAAAAACTGTTTCACTATACAGCTAAATTAAACATCAAAGAAATAACTTTTTTTATATATAGATAGATAGGTGTCACCATTGCTGAGTAGCACACTTGCCCCTTGGACAAAAAGTTATGGGTTCAAGCCCCACATTGCACATTGGTGGAGGTGCCATCCGTTGAATGAGACTTTGGCTGTCCAGGTAGACGTTAAAGATCCCCTGGCACTATTAGAAAAGAGAAGTTGGTTTATCTCTGTGTGTTGACCAACAATTCCCCGGATAATCCACTCGCTGTTTATTGGACTTTACTGTGTGCAAATTAGCTGCCGCGTCTACCAACAAATAGTCACTAGGACTGTATCTGCTTCCTTCTCGTCTTTGACCACTTTGACAACATTTGAGTTTAATTTATCTTGTCCCAATTAAACCAGATGGTGTATATTATGCAGGCACTCAATTCTCAGACAAGCAACTCGGCAATCTTTGGCAATGAATGGAATTGTGGGTCTGCAAATTAAAATTCCAATCGGACAAGACAAGCCTGCATCGCAAGTGATGTCCTGAATTAACCAGCTGAAAAAAGTGGTAACATTCATATCCTAAATTACCATGGGCAATATTTCTTTTTTTAAAAAAAAGTCTAATTTTGGTGCCAAATTCATCTTATATTTGCTACCGAAAGATACCAGGGTTTTTCTTTAAAAAAATCTGAAACACAAATTAACCCCCCCTATCCCCCACATGCCCAAAAGATTGATATCAGGCCCCAGTAAGCACTGAGAAATATCTTCCTGACATAAAAGGTTCTATATAAATGGAATCTGTATTGTGTATTAACCATACAGTTACAGCGAGGAAAAATACTGGTGACTTATAAAAAAAAGCAAATCAAAGCATTTTTGAAAAGGTAAAGGCAATCGATGGATCTAACCAAACTGACTTGAATTTATTAAAGGCTGGCTATACTTGGGAAATGTAATCAAACTCTTGAGCATGTACCAAGTTTGTAGATGAGGATACGATGGCCGAAATGTGCAGTCATTCTGTAACCAAATCCTTGGAAGAGTTTTGAGTTAAGGTAAAAAAACTGTTGAGATAAAGGAGATGTAAATTGGATAATCAATTGGCTAGACAGTTACAGGTAACAAAGTTCTAATTGGGAAACTGAAGTTCCTCCCCTCTCGGGATTGACCTTGGGGACCTTGCTTTTCACATTAATTAATGACCGACAACATAATAAGCAGATGTCTAAGTCTGCGAACGGTAAGTATTGTGGAGTAAAGTGTGATGGTTAGGTTAAGCTATGTACCTGTCTGTACCTGTGGTGGAGTTAATGCTCTGGTTAAGAGGGTTTTAAAGACTATGTAATGTTAAATGTAAATAAGAAAGCAAACCATAAAATTTCACAGCACTTGAAGTCCTGTAGCTCAGTGGTTAGAGCACTCGCTTTGCAAGTGAGAGACCTGAGTTCAATTCCAGCAGGCGAAACCTTGGCAAGTTCCTTACTCACACGCCTAATAATAATCCCCAAAACTAAAAACAATAATTAAATTGGTCATTTTCAATCTATGACTGTTTGTGGACATTGCTGTGCGCATTGGCTGCCGTTCGCCACAATATACAGTCAATTCACTTTACAGTGTGTTCTGTGAAGCGCTTTGGACGTCCCTGACGTGAAAAGCGCTATATCAAATGCAAGGATATTATTATTATTATTATAGCACTTATCCTATTCGGCCACTGTATTAAGAATGGGAGAGGGGGTTGGGAAGAGAGAACGAGGGAGGAGAAACTTTTTTTTTATTTTAAAAACGGCATTGTTTTACTTTGTAATTTTAAGTATTAGATGGTTTCCATCAACAACTAAAGTAAATAGGGAGAAATCCACCGGAACCAGTAATTTAAAAAAATTGTGACCACTTACTATTTGGCAATGAAACACATGCTCCAATTATTAGCAATTGAACTCCCAAATTATGATATTGGGGAAGAGTGAAAATTAACAGCCTAAGATTAAAAAACAAATAACGAGTGAATCTGGTTTAGGTTCTGTGCAAAACCAGAACTCAAGACTGCTCTGAATAATGGATTACTGGAGTTCATATTATAAGTCATTTACTCTTCAGTAAATTAACACATAACCCATTGGGTCTGCTTACCAGAATGTTTGATTCTTTCTCACTACAGTCCTGACTTTGTTCCTAAAGCACAAATGAACCACCGCTATGCTTTAAACAGCTGAACTAATACAAAAGTTACCGCACTTTGGAGTTACCAGGCAAATTTAGAATGTCAGTGGTACCAGGACTGACAAAGACAGACCACCAATTAATCAGGCAAAACTATTAGTAAATGGCTGAGATTTGGTTTTATTTACTATTAAGCAATCTTCCTAATGCAAGATGCCAAACTGGAAATTAGTCCAGCGTTGTTGCTTAAACTAAACTTATTATAAGCTTTGTGGACTGCCAATAACTATGAAAACATTGTGTGATAGCCAGTGATTCTGCAAGACTCCCAGCTGTTACTCCCATCACTGGTCTAGTACACATTTTACTCAGTAATGAGTCACATAAGCCATCTGTTAAAATGTGAACAGACCATAGCAACAACGGACTGAAGCACCAAGAGGATTTTCTTTAAAGCCCATAACAGCTGCACTGATCTGAAGAGATTGTTGGTCCTCTGTAATTTGTTCTCGAATTATTTATGTGCCCTTTGGCATTTCTACACAACCCATAGCTTTAAAGAGCACCTAAAGGTGCACTCTGATACAAATTTTTAAAAAAATAAAAGCTGAATATTACTATGAATTTAAAAAAAACTTTTGATTTTAATTCTTAGAAAACAAAAATAGAAAATAAAACCTCACTTTATTTTAGGCTGATTTTAAGGTAAGAATTTGCAAATAAATGTAAATCAACGCTGCATTACAATTTTTAAACATTACAGTTTGATTGGATTCTAATAACAGTATGATAGACAATGAAAACCCAGGAGGGGCCTTGGGCCCCAACAACATTTATAACATTTGATTATATAATACTATAATATCACACCATCTCACAATGGTCCACAGATAATTGTTGGCAAGTGTAGTGACAATATTTGTAGCCAAATATACATTACATAGTTAAAATACACTTCTCGCTTTCAGGGGGAATAGAAAATACATTGGTGTTAAGGACATCAATGTGCATGTAGTTCACACCCTCTTATAACCAATTATTATACTTGAAAGATATAGAATCTTATACAATTAAACATTCCCACACTACAGAGCAGAACTGTTAATGAATACCTTTGCTGTAAATTTCAGACAGAGTGGAAGTTTAAATTCAACTACTCCACTGAACTCACATTCTACAGTACTACCTAGCTAAGCACCAAATGGAGGTGCCATCCCTGAAAAAAGAGGGAGAATTGACGAAGGTCACTATTGGGTCCTTCGCAGCAGTCTTAGGTCACTATTGTGTCCTTCGCAGTAGTCAGAAAAGTGCAGCACTGACAATTGTTTGCAGTAGGGACACTGACTCAAATCCTTTTGCTCTAAACTTAGGATTTATTGAAGGCATATACAACTTATAAAGCACAGGAACGTTAATAAGATGTAAACCGTTTTAAATACTAGAATTTCTCCTCCTCCCGCCAAAGAAATGTCTATTGCTTTCCCTAAATCCAAGCAAGCTTCAGTCAGTAAATGGAACTGAAGTTTAGCCCGAGTACACGTCCCAGTGTGCAGCTACTGGGAAAACTGTTCTGTTGGCCACTCACACGGTCATCCTGGAACCTATTCTTGTTGCCTCACTCCTGTGCCTAAATGCTAACTTCCTGCATTGGCTGAACTCCTGTTGAATTTTAGCTCCTAGAAAGCCATGAAGCCTACAGCTGATATCACACAGGTCTGTCTCTGTGGCTGAATGGAGTTGAAGATCTCCTATGAGGGAGAAGATCAAAGAAGAATCCTGTCACAGTAGAAAATGTAATTATGAGAAGGGATTCTAAGTATTGGAAAGTATCAAATTCACGTTTTAAAATATTTATTGGAATCTTGGCTATTATTGTAAACCTACTAGAGTTCTTAAACTCTCCTGGTTATTAACCAACGAAAAAATTCTCATAGGCTTCGAAAAAGGTAGAATTTCTAAATTCCAGGTTTTAAAGTATGATAGAAAATCTACATAATGCTTCACCAGTTGAAAATTTTAGATAAACGTCTGTCATGATGGTTCATATCCTGATAACAAAATCATGGACATATGTACCAATATGATAATAACTCAGGTTTCTGAAAAGGTTTGTAGTTGCTGGTATTGTACAATACGACAAATGGTACAATGTTATCTTACCTGGTCCACCATCTAACTTCTGTCTTGCTAGAATGACTCAACATGCCTCTTCCTTATAGAATTCCTTTTGATTGTTGGTTTGCATTGAACATTACTATAACAAATGCATCAACGATGCCAGGGAATGGAGGGGGGGGGGTGCATTTTTAAATAATACATTTGCATCTCCTCAACTAACATGAGAACCGACCTGAGTTCAATTCCCGGCAGGGTGAAACCTTGGGCAAGTTTCCTTACTCCACACAGAGCCTAATAATAATCCCTCCAAAAACCAAAAAAACAAAAATTGGTCATTTTCAATCTACGACTGTTTGTGGGACATTGCTGTGCGCAATTGGCTGCCGCGTTCGCCCACAAATATACAGTCAATTCACTTTACAGTATATTCTGTGAAGCGCTTTGGGACGTCCTCCCGACGTGAAAAGCGCTATATCAAATGCAAGGATTATTATTATTATTGTCAGGATACCAAATTTCATTGATGCTGCTTTAATATTGCACTGGATCGAAGCACAAAGGGAACAAGACATAGAATGGTGTTTTGCAAAATACTATATCTCAGAAACACATAACACATAAATTTACCTGAGGCAACTGTTGCATTATTTTGGTGGCTTTCACTCCGTGAGACAAACAAATTCTCTTCCCCTTCAGTGGAAGAACTGGAGGAGGATTCACTGCTAAGGTCATTCTCCCCTGAACTGCTAGAACTCTGAAGCAAGGCATACTTCCTGCGGGCAAATACTTCCCTTTTCTTTCGTTGCAATAAAATCCTTTCCTTCTGCTTTTGAGTCCGCTGAGAGGGATTGGGTTTTGTAAATTTCTTCCTTGGTTGAGGCCTTCGGAGGCTACTGTTTGGGAAACAAGGTCGTTTGATTAAGATCCCTGATATAGATTCCTGCTCAGACCTAGGCCACTTGTGCATTTTTGAATGAATTGTTCTACTTGTGCCACTCAATACTGCCTGGGGATGTCGGACTGGAACCTCCTCTTCCTCTTCTTCTGAAGTCACTGTATCAGAGTCTCCAAAATGTAGACTCGAAGAAGGCGATGAAACACAGTCACTAAAAGAAGAATCGTCTAGGTGCTCCTGTGGTTCTATGCCAGATCTTAGACCAACACTATCCTGGCGACTTTTCAAATGAGAGTCTGGGGTTTCTGAGGGACCAGCCTGCTGGCTCTTACGCTTTTTTCTGACAACAATCATTTTCTCCTGTTCCATCCCGTTTCCATTCATGTCCTTTATCTGCTTTCCAGAATCACTGCAGATATGGGCATAGTCATTGCCAACCTTACTTGCAATCATTTCAACGTCTGTACTAAAACTTTTTGTTGCCAGGATGGGCTCAGGGTTCATCAACACCCCCTTTGGACTCTCCTGCCTTTTGGGTGCGCCAGGTGTAATCTCAGTCTTCATATCCAGGTTGAATGTCCAAAAAAAATTACATCAAGAAGTTTGTCTGGGGAATGGGTTGTTCTTTAGCTTGTATTAAAATCTGAAACAGCAGGACAGAGAACAAGAACGAGTTAAAAGAGGCATAGATTTATTTCAACAAATGTGGAGCTACACAGTAACTCAGATATGCACAACTAGAACAAAATATGGTTTTGTTTTCCTTTCAGATGGACCAAAACTACAAAATTCTACTTGCCAACTATGCAGGGAAGTGGCACGTTCCAGCACAAGCAAGCTAAGAGCAAAGCATCATTTCAGTTCTGCAAAGATCTTGCAATTCTTACTTGGTTTTGCTTTTGGTTTCTGAGAAACCTTAGATGCGTCCTCCATATATGCAGCCACCCATTTGGTACAATTACCGATTTCTTTCCTCCCCCTTTTGCCTTAGCAATGCTCTTGTTCTCAAGTCTTGGTTTGTCAAGTTCATATACCCTTAATAAACATTTGTTGCTCGCCCGTGCCCTTAGCTCTTGTTCTTGGCAACTAACAGGAAATGGTCAACAGCTTGCCAGTGTTGCACAAACGCTTCAGAATAGGGCTGCAGTAATCCAGGGCAACAACATTTTAAATAAATAAACCAATGTAACAAAAATATTTTTCTCACCCAAAAATCAGCCTTGCATTATGCACTCGTATTTTCACACTATTTGCGGAGTACATAAATACAATAATCCATGCATTTGATACAGCAACCGATTTGTACACAACGATGTCCCACAAGCAGCCATGAACTGAATGACCAATTTTATCTGGGGGATTGATGGCCAGGATACCAGGAAGAATTCCCATTTCTGAGTAGTTCCATGGGATCGTTAAATGCCCATCTTAACAGGCAGAAAGATGGGACCTCAGTTTAAACAGAAAAAACAAATCTGTACAAATTTTCCACCACACCATGACCATAATTACCAATCATCAAACAAGTTTTATCCCCTCCCCCTGCATCCCAATGAAAATGCTCAGCAGTTCTTGCTCAAGATCTGGAGCCCACATTGGAGGAGGAGGAAGTCTCCAGAGAGAGAGAAAAAAATATGTCAACTCCAACTAGGTCACTGGATATCACTTTGTAATGCGCTGAAATAAAACCCTCCAGAAAACATTTTGCAGAAAATATTCTGGAATCAGAAATCTTAATAGTAGGATTTTATGTACAGTAATAAAGAATGCACAGCGCATCAGCTAAACGTACAATGATTTTATTCAACAATTTGTGCCCCAAATCATATTGAAGTACATGCAACTCAAGCCTCCATACAGCTGCTTCACTCATTTTTTCTTCCCACACCACACTTCACAATCTGTCAATGGCCATTTGCTCATGTAATGCTTTTTTAAAAAAAATAATAGCTTTTGCTTTCATTATCTGCCTATGTATATATAATAATTTTTTCCTAATGTATAATTATGCCTGCTACCATTTGCCTTCCTTTAACCTTATAAAATGGTTTCTCTCTTCCTCGTTCCAGATAGACTATTCTACATCCTAACAGTATAAAATGAAATTCTTGCAAAGCCTCTCTTTGCTCTTTTAGTAATTATCTTAAATCTATCTTCTGTTCTTGAGGTATTTTTTAAAAAAAGTAAAGGAGTGATAGGGATTGGAAAAGTTAGTAACAGTTTATAAAATGATTATCCCAAAGGGTTTCAAAAAGTCAAAAAGGAACCAGAGAAGTTCCCATTAACTAAAAGGATTCCAGGTTATTTGTTTGATAGATAAATACTTCAAGTGAATTGTTGGTAAATTTGATGAGGCTTGATAGGCTATTCCTGCCTGAAATTGTTCCTATGCTACGGTGTGACTAACCAATATAAATGGGCAACTTCTGCTAGCATTTGAAATCACGTCAAGAGCCTCTTCAGTGCACCATGATAAATGAATGGGTAGTTTCATCACAATGAGTGGTATGAAACAGATTAACTAGCAATGCATTTTAGTAATAAATGGAATGATGGACACCAGTGGCCTCAAACTCAAAAGCTGATATTTTATCACCAATTCATTTCTGTGTGAGAGCGCAGTAGTGTAACTTCATTTACTGGCCAACTTGCTGGTGAAGAAGACAAGAGGGTTAATGTTGGAACTTTTCTCTCCCACTCGAAACAGTGGGAACATATATGTCAAAATCATCTCACACAAGATAAAGAATTTGCCTTCTCTCCATGCTCTAGTTGTTTTCAATGTAAATCTATAAGTGAAACGTTTCTTTCTAACACCTCCCCAACTCCCCTCACACAAACACGGTTTGTTTTATTTTCCATTCAACGTGTGAATTTTGTGCTCAAGGTTAGTGACAGCAGGACTGGGGAGTAGATTATTCTATGCTGCACATAACGCCGGGATCAAATAAACCAAAAGTTTTTTTCACGGTATGAAATTCAGCTGAAAATTCATCTGTCCAGGACTCAGCAGATTGCACAGTACCAGAGTGGAAGGATGTAGATTCCGCACAGCAAGTTCCTGATCTCAGCACGCATACCGTTGGGGAGTTACTGAGTATCCAAGCTATTTCCTCTCTTCGTTCTCATATAAACAGGCATTTTTGTCTTAAATATAGCAACACACCTCTCTGAGGCATGTATTGCTCAATTCATCATGAAGCTAGCATGTTAAAATTACTTGTTTTTCTTGCTACTCATTGCCAAGTGATGACAAAATAAAATGTTTCTCAACCTGACAAGTACAAACTATATCAAATGCAAGGATTATTATATTTAGCACTGAAACTACTGTTTTGTAACGCAAAGTGGTGACTGATGGAGAAACCTTCTGAAACATTTGGTGGCAATATGAAGGAGAAACCAAAAATTCCTACTGCAACTGTGGACCTTTCCAGAAACGTGTAGTACTCAAGGCCAACACCATCCTCTCAGAGGGGGGATAATGTAAGAGGTTAGAAAGCACACATTTTAAGATTTTTTAAAAAACTTATCTCTTTGATAAAAATACTTTGTTTGATCATTATACGTCAAAGGCAGTAGCAGCAAGTATTTCAAATCTGAATAAGAAACCAACTCCCTTTGTATGCTTGACAATTGCACCACCAAAAAAATGTTAATTAAAAATGTAATCAAGCACATTGTTACTAGGATAACTTGCTAATTAAAGGATTAGCTGGCAAAAAAGCATCTGTTGATGGTTTGCATTTGTATTAAAAAAACATTATTCATAAAGATCACTTCTTCCATTAAGAGTAGGCATGAAGCCTTGTTTAGCTGGCTATGGTCCAACAATCCTTTCTGAAACCAAACTCTGATACCGAAACACACATTTGAGAACCCCAGACGTCTTGAGGAAATGTATAGTCAGACAGTCCAAAATGATTTTTTCAGGCCCACACACTGGGTACCTTAGTCTCAAGTAGTAGTCTACCCAATAATTAACTTGAACCTTCAGTGGAATATTTCTTCAACCTACAGTGCAATATTTCCCTTTCAGAATTAAGATGCTCTATCCCCAAGGCCCCTAAATAAGCCTGGAAAAATTCACTCAAGATGAGTTGAGAACCGAAGCTAAACTTAAATACACGGAGGGCCATTTACTGCTTTTTGGAGACATTCTGACTGGGATCCTGAGGTCATAAGACAGGATTACCATATTGTCACTCAATTCACACGCTCCCATTGGGGACTCCTCCAATGATTTTCTTTCCCACTGCAGTGTCCAATATTCCCAAGAGCATGGACACGATTGTAAATTCAAGAAGTTTGAACAACTTGGATTTATATAGCGCCGTCCAAACCGGATAGCATCTCAGAGCACTTTACAGTAACGGATCCCAAGACTGAGCCAGGTAGAAGGGGGAGGAAGGTGACCAAAGGCACGGTCGAAAAGAAAGGTCTTCAGCAGAGACCTTAAAATGGGAAGGAAGGGAGCGAGACGAAGGGAGTGAGGAAGGCAGTTCCAGAGTCTCGGGGCATAGTGGCTGAAGGCACGGCCGCCGAGGGTGGAGCGGAGGACTCGGGGACGAGGAGGAGGCCAGACCTGGAGGAACGCAGGCAACGAGTACTGTTTTGAGGAGAGAGGAGCCAGAGAGGTAGGGGGCTGCAGAGGAATGCAGGGACTTGAATACAAGGGTGAGGATCTTGAACCCTCACATTGCTTATGTTTTGAAGTATTCAGTCTTATGAGAGACAATCCACAAAGTACAGTAGTTCTTTTTAAATTTATTCAGCTTTTAAAAAAAGTTGTGCAGCCTATTAATGCAAGCAAAAAAGTACTTACACAACTTAAGAGGTTAAGAGGAGACTTCATAGAAGTTTTCAAAATTATGAGGGGAGATTCAATAGGGTGAACAAGAAAAAATTATTTCCACTGGCACGTGGGTCGGTAACCCGAGGACACCGATTTAAAATAGTTGTTAAAAGAAACAGAGTGGAGGCGAGGAGAAATTTTTTCACAAAGCGAATTGTTTGGATCTGGAATGCATTGGCCAAAAGGGAGCCAAAAGGAAGCCAATTCGATAACAACTTTTAAGAGAGAAATAGACAATCATTTGGGGAAGACAAGTTTGCAGGGTTATGTGAGAAAGCGGGGAGTGGGATTGAATTGGATAGCTCTTTTCAAAGAGCCGGCACAGACACAATGGGCTGAACGGCCTCCTTCTGTGCTGTATAATCCTATGATTCTATGAACTACCTTTACAAATAAGCATTTGCATAATTAATTTCTGTTACAGAATACAATATGAAGTTACACCCAGAAGTAGGACCAGAAAGGCCACAATTTTAAGCACAAATCTCAAGGATGTTTAAAACTACCTTCTGACGGGGCTCTACAGCACATGTACCCGGTAGTACCATGCCTTAAAGATTAAGGTTAACCATAAATTATATTTGCTGATCTAAGTTAGGGCATTGGTAGCAGCATTACAGTTGGCCTCAGCAACCCCCTGGGTGGGGAGAGAAAAACATCAACTAGTTGTCACAATTCTGATTGCTATCCGGTGAGCACTGGTGGAAAGTATACATGTAGAGACTGGGCAAAGACAAGATGGAGCTTGACTCGTGTCCCTAATGGTGCCATTAACCTGCTGACAATGA